CTCTCGTGTTGAAGGAAAGCTTTCAAAGAGTTTTGTGAAGAGATAGCTTGTGGTGGCCTATCATGTTGCAGTTTTAACTTCGAGAACTGAAGTTTACACGTGGGGCAAGGGAGCAAATGGTCGATTGGGTCATGGAGATACAGAGGGACAGAAATTCTCCAACTTTAGTAGAAGCTTTAAAGGACAAACAAGTAAAAAGTATTGCTTGTGGTACTAGTTTTACTGCTGTTATCTGCCTTCATAAGTGGGTTTCAGGAATTGATCAGTCCATGTGCTCTGGCTGCCGTCTGCCATTTAATTTTAAAAGAAAACGGCATATTGTTATAACTGTGGGCTTGTATTTTGCCACTCATGCAGCAGCAAGAAGTCCCTGAGGGCTTCTATGGCACCGAATCCCAATAAAACTTATCGCGTGTGTGATAATTGTTTTGGGAAACTAAAGAAAGCTATTGAAACTGACACTTCATCTCAGTCTGTTGTGGGTAGGAGAGGAAGTATGAATCAGGGCTTGAATGAGCTAATTGACAAAGACGATAAGTTGGATTCCAGATCTCATCCTCATCTTGGAAGATTTTCCTCAATGGAATCCTTGAAACAAGCGGATAGCCGTTCTTCCAAGAGAAATAAGAAGTTAGAATTCAATAGTAGCCGTGTATCACCCATTCCAAATGGAAGTTCCCAGTGGGGAGCTCTTAACATCTCTAAATCTTTTAATCCAGTATTTGGATCATCCAAAAAATTTTTCTCAGCTTCTGTTCCTGGGTCAAGAATTGTTTCTCGAGCAACATCACCAATTTCAAGACGGCCCAGCCCACCTCGTTCTACTACACCAACTCCAACTCTGGGTGGACTCACCTCACCAAAATTTGTAGTGGATGATGCTAAAAGGACAACTGATAGCCATAGCCAGGAAGTTATTAAATTAAGAGCACAGGTATATAATCCTGTCCTGCTTGTTGTCATCTACTTGTTTAATTTTCTCCTGCAAATTTGTTTCTTCTTGTTTCTTATGTTAGTTTACTGAAAGTGGGAATGGGGAAGTACTAATAAGTGGCCAAGGTGAAGAAGTATTGTTCCTAATGATTAAGAGTTGCAAGAATTTGTCACAAAGACCTCCTCTTTTGTATCCATCTTTATCTTCTATAATTAAAAATGTCTTCCCTTGGAGCAAATGACACAAAATGTAGAAATGAGAGCTTGATTACAATTTTCAATACTATAAGATGCAATACCATATTCTGTGGGATTATTAGGCTTCATCAATCTACGTGATGTAATTGGTTAGTAGACATAAAGTCTCCTTGCTGTGTGAAAGATTAAAATTTTGTTTCGAAATGATCAAAACAGCCGAAATGTTTCTGTTTCCTAGGAGACCAAAACGAATTAGTGATGTAATTGAAATTCTAATACTTTGAGGTGTTTTGTAATGTTTCGATGCATTTACACAATTTTTTCAGAATATTTAAAGTTGTTTTAAGTGCTTTGATATATTTTGACCAATGTTTTGGAAAAATAATCCGGATTTTTTTTATTCGTTTCCATTCTATTTTTGAAACAGGTCGAAACGTTTTAGTGATTGAAAGTATCGAAACGAAATTTTGATCCTTGCATGCTGTAATTTAAGAAATCTTTGAAATTGTGTCTGGCTGCATGTTTGTTAGTTATATCTGACCTTTTTTACATCAGGTGGAAAATCTGACTCGTAAAGCCCAACTTCAGGAGTTAGAGCTGGAAAGAACTACTAAACAACTAAAGGATGCGATAGCAATTGCACGGGAAGAGACTGCAAAATGCAAAGCAGCGAAAGAAGTGATCAAGTCACTTACTGCCCAAGTAAGAAAATGTCTATAATATGGTTTTAAACCTTGTATGAGATGACTTGATAAGTTATGGGGTTGTCTGCATGTTATGTGGAATAATTTTAGTCCGGTGTTTCCTAAACAGCATCACATATCAGCCTAATCTGTTTTTCATGTCATTTGAGAAGAGTCCATTTCATTAACAAGTGGGATCTTTTTAAAACACTGAAAGATGAATCTTCTTCATTTTTAATTGTCATTTCATATGTTGATATTGCTTATTCTCATAATAAATTTGTGCCTCAAATGCTAGGAAACAGGAAGTGAAATCAATGGGAGGTTCAAATGAACATTTATTTAATTAAATGTTTTACTTCAGTATTTATACTTGGCTTCTCAATTTTGAAATTATAACTAAACAGTGAACTACTATTTGGTTGCTTCCTTAAAAGATTGCTTATGATCAATTCAAGGAAGAAAAATTTCCCATCATATGATTTAGTTGAGATAGTAAAAGTGATATTAGGGTTAGAGGGAAAGAGAGAAGAAAGAGAGTCAGACAAAGGAGAGTAATCAGTTGTGGAGGCAGTGTTTTTCCACACTCTTATTTATAATAAACTGACATTATGAGCAATTACATTATTTTTCTACACTACTAATAATCTAAAATAAGAATTCTAACACTCTCTTTCAAGTTTTAACATACATCTCAAAGATGCCCCAGCTTGGAACAAAGATTACTAAAGATAAATGAGCCAATGGTTTGGTTAGGATGTCACTAGTTGATCACTAGATTTGATGTATAGTGTGACTTTCACATACAGTATCACATGACAGTATGAGTCCTTTTCACATACTATTGCGTTTTGTTTCTTACTCCGCCACATCACAAGGTTGCTACCAATAAATATAGAGTTAGAGTAACCCGAAATAGATCGCCTATCAACACGAATACCTACCTAGTTAGCATCAGAAAAGTCAATAATAGTCATGGATGTTGAAGGACGATATAATAATCCTTAACCTGGTGCTCCTTTTAGATACTAAAGAATACGACATATAGCCTCCCAATGAAGTTCACGAGTAACATGTAGGAGCTAACTAACCACACCAACAACATAGGTAGTGTCAGGATGTATAACTGTAAGATAGATTAATTTACTAACTAACCTTCGATCAAGGATCAAAATATCATTTCGGTGTATTGCTTCAGTCACCTAGGAAATGGAAACGTTTCGACGTGTTTCGGAAGCGTTTTGACCCGTTTTGAAATATAATGAAAAAAATAAAAATTTAAGAATTATTTTTCTAAAATATTGATGAAAATATATCAAAATATCTTAAAATACCTTAAAACATTCTAAAACAATTGTGCAAATGCATTGAAATATTATAATACATTTAAAAGTATTATAGAATACCTCGAAATATTATAATTTCGATTCCATCACTGTTTCGTTTCGACCTCCTGGGAAACGGAAATGTTTCGGACGTTTTGACCGTTTTGAAACGATATTTTGATCCTTGCTTTCGATAGTGCTCTACTTCATCAAAAATTTCACCACTCTCTGAATCTATTCAGACAATCTAATACATACTCCCGTTGACACAAATTGATACCTTCTTTTGACCGAGCAACCTATCCCAAGAAAATACTAAAGAAGTCCTAGGTGTTTGACATGAAATTGTTTCCTCAAATGAATCTTGAAATGAGCAATACAAGTTGAGTCATTCCCACTAACGGTAGTATCATTAACATATACAATAAGAATAATAATACATGTGGAAGAATGATGAATAAATATTGAATACTCTAAGTTGGAGTGCTGAAAACCATACTGAAGTACAACAGTATTGAACTTATCAAACTAAGCACGTGGTGATTGTTTCGGGCTGTATATTGCTTTCTTAAGATGACACTAATTTTTTCTTACCAAATGCAACATAACCTGGAGGTGGTACCATATATACCTTCTTCCATAAGTCTCCACATAAAAAGGCATTCTTGAGTCTAGTTGATATAAAGGCCAATCACAATTAATTGTAACAGAAAGAAGAACTCTAACAAAGTTAAGACAAGCAATAGGGGTAAGTCTCACAGAAACCCACACCATATGTCTGGATGTATCTTTTGGCAAACAAGCGTGTACTACTTCGTTGTGAAGACATTATTTTCTTGAGGTCAAGGGTTCAAGTCCCTCTTCTTTCTATCCCTCTCCCTCCCAAAAAATAAAAAAAAAAAAAAAATAGTTCAACTAAACTATCAAGATGATATTTCACTGGGTAGACCCAACAAAAGCTAACAACAATTGACAGGCTGCTTACTAGAAGGTATAGTAGTAAGATCCCATGTCCGATTCTCATGAAGGACTTTCATTTCTTTATCCATAGTCAGTTGCCAACTAGGAGATGTTAGTGCATGTTTCAAGGAGTTGGGAACAAACACAGATGACAAAGTTGATTGAAAACAACGAGAGGATGAAGAAAATCAATGCAAAGAAATAAAATTAGAAATGAGATGCCTAGTACAATTATGAGTACCTTTCTTAATGCAATAGGTAAATCAGAAGATGATAAAGTAGCTTACGGCTCAGACGATAAGACCTCGATAGAATCTTGCGATGGCTGTGGAGTTGGAGTATATGGAACAACATTTCTGTCCTTAGAGCGATGACAGATCTGCAAGGAAAGGCTAAGAATTGGGGAAGAAGAGACAGAGTCTGGGACAACACGTAAATACTAAATTTGGGGAAAAGGCATGTCCGGGCGCAAAGAAGAAGGAAGATGACTCAAAAAAAAGTAACATCAACACTGACATAGTATTGACGAGTGACAAAGATTATAACAATGATAACCTTTTTAAGTATGAGAATATCCAAAAAAAAATGCACTTAACCGAGCGATATGAAAGTTTATCCTGACATAAACGAAAAAGGTGAACAAATGTAATACAACCAAAGACACGAGGAATGAGACCAAATGACTGTGTATTAGGATAGAGCAATGAGAAAGGAGATTTGTTGTCCAAAATAGACGAAGACATGCAATTAATCAGATAAACTGAAATAAGAACAACATCAACCTAATATCGTTTTGGCACATAAATGTTAAACATTAAAGTGCAGGTATCATCTAACAAATGACGATGTTTACGTGTAGCAACACTATTTTGTTTGAAGGAATGCTAACAAGTGGTTTGATGGATAATGCCTCGGTCAACACAAAAGATTTTCATAAACGATTCAATATTCTCAAGGGCATTGTCAGACCAAAGAATTTTGATACATATATCAAACTAAACTAGAATTCCATTATAAAAGGTGGTAAATACCTTAGGCAATTTAGATCATTCTTTCATAAAAAAATAACCAAGCCATACGGGAGAAATCATCTACAAAGATTACAAAATATTGAAAATTAGAAATACTTCTGACTCGTGCTGGACCCCAAATGTCTTTATGAACTACATAAAAAAGGACTAGATTGACGACTTGAAGAGTTATGAGGAAAAAACTACGGTGATGCTTGTGTAATTGACAAGTTTGCATTCTAACACAGAAGAAGGACTCAAACCAGGAATGACTTGACGCAATTTCTGCAATGAAGGATAACCTTGTCGAAAATGCCACCGGAGAGGAGACACAATAGCATTTAAGGTAGGAAAGGAACTTTTGCGATTCAAGTAACCAAGAATGGGGCCAATGGACTACAAACAATCTTCAATCACACAAACAACCAAGAATGGAGCCAAAAAAAAGGGCTAGAGATGCTCAAATCACAGACAAAATGCCTAAAGCACCCAAATCGCCGTCAATATCATAGCCATAAACCAACTTGGGAAGCAAAATCACAACACAACACACCAATAAGGTTCAACCACAACACAGGAAGTAGAAACAATCACAAACACTAGTAGCTGAAGTGTGCGAATCCTGTCCAGACCAAAACAACAGGAAGTCGGCACTCCTTAGGCACAAAAACATGTCCAAAACCATCATATACAACTGGGCATCTCAGGTAGCCCCTCCCAAGACCTAATCGGCACCCACAGTTGCAGATACAAGCCAAAATCTAGCCAAAAAATCCCAAAAACAATATATCTGGAAATTAAACCGTCGATATCCAATCCACGACAACACCCATAACAACACATGAACCAATCACACAACCAGGCCTCAAGAAAACACAACACAAAGGTCAAGAAACAACAAAGAAAAATGTTTGATGAACATATGGAACAACCAAGGTTGTTGGATGAATAAATTTGGAACAAATCTAACGGAATACTATTGCCAACCAATAGATCTGGAATGAATCTAACAGAACAGGAGAAAAACAGTGCTTCCAACCCAAAAACGAAGAAACCTGGAGCATATTAACCAAGATCGAAGAGATCTGGAATAAGTCGAACCCAGGCGTAGGTCACCATAGTGCTGTCGTTACTTCATTTGCTCAAAAACACCAATACACCAGCCAAACAAGGCTGGGCAACTTAGAAAAACTCCCTCTTAGTCCAAATCGACACCAATAGAGGTAGATTCAAGCAACAGATCAGTTAAAAAAGGGCAGAATCAGTAGATCTAGAAAACCAACCCCTATTTTCCCAAAAAGATTCAAAAATAGAAAACTCTATGTAGATGGCTTCAAAAAATTATCAAAAAATCATTATACTTCCGAGGGCAACGAGTCGACCATGAAGGTATTTTTCTGTCACTGGAAAGTATTGATGTCAACATTCCGGCGCTGACGTTAGAAACGACTGGCGGTTGACTTTTTTTTTTGTGTGTGTGTGTGTTGTGTTTTTAGGGGCCTTTGCCTAAAAAACTTGTTTTGATACCAAGTTGATATATTAAAAGTGATATTAGGGTTAGAGAGAAGGAGAGAAGAAAGACAGACTGACAAAAGAGAATAATCAGTTTTGTATCAATGCAGCCCTACACTCTTATTTATAATAAATTGACATTACGAGGTATTACATTATTATCGTACACTACTAATAATCTAAAATAAGACTCTAACATGGTTGAATGAAGCTTGTCTGTGGCTATTAAGCCATTAGTCTCAGATGGCAGGTTGCTAGTGTGAACTTTAATTATCTTTTAAAGCTGATAAAAATCACGTTCTCTTGAACCATACTGGGTTTAAATAACCTTTACACAAGTAGCGGTAATGCGGATCATTGAAGGGAGGAAATTCTGTTTGCAACTTGGTAATAAAATAGACCAAATGGAGAATATGCCCTTTAAATTTAAAGTCGTGTAATGCATGGCTTTAAAGGACAAGTTCACTTGGCCTCTTGTACTCTAGAAGGTGAGTTTTGGAGATTTGTAAAGGAAAAGTCTTGACTGT